TTTATAAAATTTCAAAAATTATCATTTTAGTGAAATTTTCAATTTTACACAAAATGACTACATTGTTCTCTTTTGAAAAAAAATTGCAATTATAGCCAATTTGTCTAATAGTTAAATTACTAACCAAAAGTAGTCGATTTTGCATTTTTTGTTTAAATAACTCATTTTATATATTTATTCAAGAGAGAAAAAAAAATTCTATACATTCTTTTTAAAAGAATTTACAAAATGTCCAGATTTATATTTTTTACAAAAATGACCAATTTTGTGTTTTGTTTTTGCAAAAACAGCCTTTTTTTAAATGACCAGAAACTAAAAATAAAAAAAAAAGATTTTGAGATTGTTATTTTTTTTTCTTTAGCAAAGCATGAGTTTACTTATCAATTCTACGATGAGGTAAAGTTAAACTAAACACCACATTAATAATAAATATATATGTACATAATAATAAAATATAATCATATAAGAATCACAATAGACTTAACTAACTCAAAACAAACTTAATACAAACAACTTAATCAAAATATAAAAAGAACATGAAGTGTTAATTTAAGATTACATTGCAAAATGTAAAAGAAATACGTAAAGTTAATGACAAGAAAATAGTGGAAGCAAATTAGTTGAACCACAAACTCACACAATGATGAAATATATATTTTTTCTTTTTAGAAGAAGACTTTCACTCTCTCTTCTTATAATTTTTTCCTCTTCTTCTCTTTTTTCTTCTTCCTTTTCTCTTTTTTTTTTTTCAAAATATAAAAAGAACATGAAACATTAATTTAAGATTACATTGTGAAATGTAAAACAAATACCTAAAGTTGATGACAAGCAAATAGTGGAAGCAAATTAGTTGAACCACAAACTCACACAATGATGAAATATATATTTTTTCTTTTTAGAAGAAGACTTTCACTCTCTCTTCTTATAATTTTTTCCTCTTCTTCTCTTTTTCTTCTTCCTTTTCTCTTGTTTTTTTTCTTTACAATGAAAAAAGAATGTGGTTTAAATAGGTGGTGAATATTAACACTCATTCTTCTTGAAAACTTAAGAGTCAATGCATGCATTGGACTCTTTGCCTTCCCAAGGTGCCACCCAAGATGACCAATAAAATTTCTTCTTTTCCTTTTTCCAAGAAAAGATTAATTAAAAAGACTTCATTGCCCATTTAGATTACCCATTTCTTTTATTCATTAATTGAATAATAGCTCAATGGGTCATCTGAAAATTTAAAATAAGCCCCAAAATGTTGACCCATTTGATCAAGACCCAAACCCAAAAGAAAAATATGTCCACTAACACAAAATTGAAACATCTAAACTATGTTGAAGATCAAACACAACAAATAAGGCAAAAAAATAAAAATAAAAATAAAAAATAAAATTCTAGGAAAAACTTCAACATTATAAAACTTAAAGAACACTAACAAAATAATACAAAATCTGGCACAAAAATGATTTATATGGTTAATAAAGGTTGTGCTAGTGGAGAATTCAGATAGAGGATGAGAGGGTAAAAATTGACATATATTTTCGGGTGAAAGGGGATCGCCGGAAAACTTCGCCGAAATAATTTTTGACAAAATTTTAACATAAAATTTACATCAAAAGATAGCCCTTGAAGAACTCTAGACATTTATTTAAATTGTATAGGATGGGGATGACCGGAACTTCATAAATCTAAAGAAAAAAGTGAAGATTTGTGTTTGGTTTTTCATAGATCTACGAAGTATGGCTACGGAAAAAGATGAATGATTTGCGGATTTGTGTTGAGGAGGGTGAAAGAAAGAAATGGTAATTTTTTTGGAGATTTTTCCGGTGAAACGGTGGTGGCCGCCGGCGAGGATGGTAGTAGCAAGGGGAGAAAATTAAATTAAATTAAAATAAGGCCAAAATTCTGATTTTTGGGAGTGTTTTTTAATATTTTTTGGTAGGGTAACATAAGAGCCCTTGGATCAAAATGTTTTGAATGGTTGAGATTCAATCTTGACCATTGCTATTGGACTGGGTCTAAAATGGATTGGGCTATCAGAATTGGGTCTAAATCAGCCCAATTCAATCAAAATTGGGTTATTTGGGCCAATAAAAAAAACAATAGAAACAAAGACAAAAATACATTAAAAAAAACAAAATATAAGAAAATAACTTACTATATTGTAGGAGTAAATTAAACACGTCAAAAATTAGGTGTTGACAGCATGCCCCTCTTTGCTTTGAAACATGAAGAGTTTTCAAGCAAAGAAAGTGAACGGAGTGGCTAATTTTTTACTATTTCAAACTCTGTTGAATCCATTTTGAGAAAGATGACCGAACCTTGCTTAAAGGTTGCCTACATATCCTTGATTAAAACAAAATCAGGTCAGTGTAGTTCGAGAAAATTTGATAGCCAAAACTATCGGAGATTGTAGTCAAAAAATTGCTTCTTATTGCTTGTCATCATCTACTGTCTATAGTTACATAAAAAAATCTATAGAACTTTGTTTCTCTACAATATAGGAGCTACAAGATCCCTACTTGATGTGTCTTCTTAGTGTCTTCTCTTGATCTTTGACTTGTTCTGTGCGTTATCTCTGAGATTGATCTTGATGCTCTCTTGGAGGCTTGTGGATCATTCTCATGTGCATGTTTTGACTTGATTTGGCAATTCATACTTAAAACTCAATATCACAAAATGAAGAACTTGAATAGGATATGCTTCTTTCCGGAAAAGAAAGAAATGAAAATCTTGGACTAGGACGTATAATCCTAGAAAGAAATGAGAAATGAGGCGTATTACCCTGAGAGATTCAAAAGGGACATATTTTCTCTGTGAGTTAACATAAGATTGGGTGTATTACCCAACATATGAACATGGTGCATACTGCACCTGAATGTTGGGAGCATATTGTCCAGGAAGGTATGACTGGTTCGCATTGCACATGAAAGAAAGATTAGTGTGTATTGCACATGAATGAAATATCGATGCGTATTGCATGGGATTTAGATTGGAGCGTCTTGCACATGAATGAAAGACTGGTGCGCTTTGCACATTAATAAATGAGAGGTGCATATTGCATGAAATTCAAACTGGTGCGTATTGCACATGAAAGAAAGACTGGTGCGATTTGCACATGAATAAAGGACAGATTTGTATTGCACGGAATTCAAACGGGTGCGTATTGCACATGAATAAAGGACAGATGCGTATTGCATGAAATTCAGTCTAATACGTATCGCACCTAAATGAAAGACTAGTGCATATTGCACGATGCTCTCGAATTGAGAGGTAAGAATGCGAATAGCATGAGATGAAACAACAAACATGTGAAGACTTTGGAGAAGTTCTTTTTTGTGATGCTTCAGTTTTTACTTGTAGTCTTGCACTTTATTTTGTTCATGTACTAAGCAAAAGAAAGAGAAAATCATTAGTTTAAAGTGGTGGTTGGTTTGTGGCCTTGATGTTCTGATGACTTGACCATACTCCCGACCGATTTCTCAAACTCTACTCCAAATCCTTGGCTGAACAACCTCTTGAAGCTTCCTCTTTATCGATCCAGGGACCTTGATCTTCTTGGTACTACCAAATATCATGGTGCGACTGATTTCCCAAAGAACGAATTTTCCTTTTGCATTTTTTCCATGACTTAAGAGATCATATCGTATTCCTTCACGAGTTTTTAGTGAAGATCTGAGACATTTTTAGCCCTTACTTGATGGCATGCCAACTCAGATACTCAACTTTATTTTGGGGAAACCGAAGTAAGCTTTGCAATCTTTTACCTTATTTTATCAAAAGATTATACCGAAAAGACTAGAAAAATATCAAACTTAAGAGTGTGAAACTTGGATCAAGAAAGACTTATACTTAACGAAAGAAAATCCCTTTGAGCAAAATGAGAAATAAAACTTATCTGGAGGAATATGTCGACTTTAAGTGAACCATGACATGCACTTTGGACTTGACCCTTGATCCGTTTGAGTTGTCTAGTTCTCAAAATCTGAATCATTATCAATTTAAAACTGATCTATGTATCCTTCATGCAGAGGTGTCGAGAAATGGCGATCTTTGCAGATTTCTTCCAATTAGTCATTTTCATGATGTTCTCTCCTTTTATCTTAAGGTGCCCGCAAGAATTTTCACCGATAAGATTTTCTCTCTTGTCATCTAATGGTGCCTATAAAGGTTTTCACCGATAAGACTCTCTCATCTTTTTTGACTCAACAGTGTTGTCTCTGATGATCAATTGTCCGTGCAAGACATATTAAATATATCATTCTTAGAGTTGGTCAAAATGTCGGTTGCTAGAATGGAATCATAAATTGAATTACAATTTGACACTATTCTATCAAAATAAAATTTAAAAAATACCCAGTTTTCTATAAATACTGGAATATTGATTTTTTTTTGTATGACCGAACCCCAAAGGGTTGCCTACGTATCCTTTCGGAATCAGGTCAAACGTAGTTCAAGTTTTCAAATAGAGGAATTTTGTTTTTTTTGGTCTTTTTATTTGTTTTTTTAAAAAAAAAAAAAGTGCATTTGTTCTCCCATAAACTTGTCACAATATCTTAGAACACATTAGATGTAGTATTTTCGACTGCGTCCGCATTAACAATTATGTCTGTGATTTTCCTTCCACATCAGTAAGGTGCAAGGCTCCTTTGGACAACACTTCCTTGATAAGATATGGACCTTGCCAATTTGGGGCAAAACTTTCCCTTGGTTTCTTCTTGGTGCGGGAGAATGCGCTTTAAGACCAATTGACCTACATCAAAGTGTCTTTGGGTGCACCTTTTTGTTGTATCCACGAGCCATTCTTTGCTAATAAAGCTGATCAAAATAGACGGTCGTCAATCGTTTCTCATATATTAATGTGAGCTGCTCTAGTCGGGTTTTGACCCATTCAATATTTTCAATTTTAGCCTCGACAATAATTCGAAGAGATGGAATTTCATCTTCTGTTGGTATCACAACCTCAATCCCATACACCAACAAATAAGGAGTTGCACCAATCAAGGTGCGCACTATTGTGCGATATCCCAAAAGTGCAAAAGGGAGCTTCTCATGCCATTGTCTGGTGCCTTGAAGAATCCTCCTGAGAAACTTTTTGATATTCCTGTTGGCAGCCTCCACAACTCCGTTGGCTTTTGGTCGGTATGGAGTAGAATTGAGATGCACAATTTTAATTGCTCACATACCTCCTTCATCAAATTGCTATTAAGGTTTGCAGCATTATCTGTGATGATAGTTCTTGGGATATCAAAATGACAAATTATGTTTGAATGGACAAAATCCACGACCGCCTTCTTAGTGACTGCCTTGAAAGTGATTGCCTTCACCCATTTAGTAAAGTAATCAATTGCGACCAAAATGAATCGATGTCCATTAGAAGCTTTTGGCTCAATTGGTCCGATGACATCCATTCCCCATGCAACAAAGGTCCAAGGAGCGGCCATGGGGTGCAACTCTGAGGGAGATGAATTAATGAGATCACCATGAATTTGACACTGATGACATTTTTTCACAAAGCAAAAGCAATCCCGTTCCATGGTAAGCCAATAATATCCTGCTCAGAGTATCTTTTTCGCAAGGACATATCCATTCATGTATGGTCCACATACCCCAGCATGTATTTCATTCATGATCTTCTCGGCTTCTTCGGCATCCACACATCTCAACAAGTTTAGATTTGGGGTTCGTTTATATAAAGTTTCCCCGCTAAATAATAAACCACTAGCCAGACATCTAATAGTTTTTTTTTGGCTTCCATTGCCATGTTCGGGACATTTCCCTATTTGCAAGAAATTCTTGATATCTAGGTACCATGGCTCACCATCCGATTCTGATTCCACAGTGTTACAATAGCCATGTTGGTCCCGAACTTAAATCTCCAAGGGAGTAATGCAAGTGTTTCCAGGATATGGAAGCATCGAGGCAAAAGTAGCCAAGGCATCTGCCAACTCATTATGAAATCTGGGATGTATATAAACTCGATGGACCTAAACCTTTTGCTAAGATCTTCCACGCATTGTTTGTATAGAAGAAGCTTAAGGTCTCGAGTTTTCCATTCGCCTTGAGCTTGCCGAATAAGCAAATCAGAATCTCCCAACACAATCAATTCTTGCATGCCCAAATCTATTGCCATAATTAGACCAATGATGCAAACTTCATACTATGTTGTGTTATTTGTACAGAAGAAACGAAGTAGAGCTGTTGCAGGGTAATGCTGCCCTAAGGGCGATATGAGAATTGCCCCAATCCCCTGTGCCTTTTCTATTGATTACTCCATCAAAGTATAACTGCCAGACCTTATTTTCATCTGGATCTACTTCTTCAACTGAGTTAATCTCTTCATCTGGAAAATATGTATCCAATGGTTTATAGTCGCCACGACTGGATTCTCCGCCAAGTGGTCTGCCAAAGCTTGAGCTTTCATTGTAGTTTGAGTGACATATGTAATATCAAATTCAGTGAGCAAGATTTGCCATTTCGCGAGTCTGCCAGTTGGCATTGGCTTCTGAAAGATGTACTTCAAAGGATCCATCCTTGATATGAGGTAAGTTGTGTAGGACAAAAGGTAATGCCTTAACTATTGAGCTACCCAAGTTAGGGCGCAACATGTACTTTCCAAGAGGGTGTACTTGACCTCATAACTAGTGAATTTCTTGCTCAAGTAGTAGATAGCTTGCTCCTTCCTGCGTGTGGAATCGTGTCGACCGAGAACACACCCAAAGGAATTGACACTAAAAGATATAGAAAGAGAGGTCTATCAGGTTCAGGCGGGACCAATACGGAAGGGTTGGATAAATACTCCTTGATTTTTTCAAAAGCTTGTTGACAATCCTCCGTCTATCTGACAGCAACATCCTTTTTCAAAAGTCTGAAAATGGGCTCACAAGTGGTTGTGAGTTAAGCAATAAACCTGCTGATGTAGTTCAACCTCCCAAGTAGACTCATGACTTCAGTCTTATTTTTCGGGGGTGGCAAATCTCAAATGACTTTTATTTTGGAAGGATCCAATTTGATTCCCCTTCTACTGACAATAAAACCCAGAAGCTTTCCAGATGGAATTCCAAATGCACATTTTGCTGGATTAAACTTGAGATTATATCTTCGCACTCTTTCAAAGAATTTTCTCAGATCTTGCACATGGTCAGCTTGTGTTTCAGACTTGATGATTATGCCATCGACGTATACTTCAATTTCTTTATGCATCATATCATGAAACATGGTGGTCACAGCCCTCATGTAAGTTGCCCCAGCATTTTTAAAACCGAATAACATGACCCTGCAGCAATAAGTCCCCCATGGAGTGGTGAAAGCCGTTTTCTCAGCGTCATCTTCATCCATCAAGATTTGATTATACCCCGCATAACAGTCCACAAAAGATTGAATTTTGTGTTTGGCACAATTATCAACTAGAATGTGGATATTGGGAAAGGGAAAGTTGTCTTTTGGACTAGCTTTGTTCAAATCCTGATAGTCAACACAAATTTTTATCTTTCTATCCTTTTTCGGCACAGGAACAACATTTGACAACCAAGTAGTGTAACAAATGTCTTGGATCACACTTGCATTTAGTTGTTTCATGATTTCTTCCTTGATTTTTTCACTCACGTCCGATTTGAATTTCCTTCTTTTCTGTTGGACAGGTGGAAAATCAGGATGAGTGGGCAACTTATGAACCACTAAATCGACACTCAAACCTGGCATGTCATCATAGGACCAGGCAAGCACATCTTTGTATTCAAACAAAAGTTATATTCTGGCATCCCTAATTTCCTGCTTGACATGAAAGCTTATTTTTATTTCTTCAACTTCCTCAGTACTTCCTAAATTGATTGCCTCGGTTTCACTAAGATTAGGCTTAGGTTTGTGCTCAAACTATTCCAGTTCCCTATTAATTTCCCTCAAAAGCCTCTTCTTCATCATATTCAACCTCTTGACTCGGTGATTCAAGAATAAATAACTCTTTGAGATCTGCGAGTGAATTTCGCATGCATGTCTTGTTATCAAAGCCGACATTTTCAGAACTGAAAAATGGAGAATAAGAATTAGGGTAGGGGAAAAGACAAAATTTTACTATGAAAATGGAATGTCATTTCATTGAAATTAAAAAAGGGATAGAAGGGTTGAAATTAATACAAAACACTTTCAAAATTTTGGATCACAACCCTGACAAATAAAATACAAAAGAGTAGCAATACAAACTACCATTACTCCTTCCTTATAGGGAAAGGAGTGGCCTCCCAATTGTTTAGCTCAACACCTGAGCCTACGAGCTACACATCGACATGACTTGTACCTTCACCAACTTGGACAATGTTTACTTCACAAAAAAATTGACTAAGATCCTGAATACCTTCTTCAATGTCTTCATGAGTAAATGAAGCTTCCATTTCTGGACCCTAAGGCTTGATAAAGGAATGAGAAATATGGGGAATCGGTTGTGGAAGTGCCCAATCAGTCCTTTTGTGGTTCTTAACCTTATCTCCATATCTCTCGCGTTGTTTGTATTCGAGGCCAGAGGTGCCTTGGTTTCCTAAAAGAGTAATGGGATCCGCGATTCCTTGCGAACATAGTCCCAAACCTTTACCAGGTTGATAACCATATTTGAGCATTGTCGTTGCTACCATTGAAGAGGAAGAAGATAGACATGGTTGGATGATGGGGTCTCATTTTTTAAAGCGATCAACTGATACGGCCTCAAAAGACTGGTAAACAACGGAATCACATCATTTTTTCGCCTCAATGTATGGAATGGATGGATCTCTGTAAATAGGTAAATCATCTTCCTCAAGCACAATGATTTCCTGATGGTCGTATTCAAACTTAACAACTTGATGCAGAGTTGATGGGACTACCCAATCAATGTGGATCCATGGCCTTCCCAATAGAATATTATAAGATGTGTCCATGTCCATTACTTGGAACACAATCATAAAGTCCACCGGTCCAATTTTCATGTTTAACTTGATATCACCAATGGTATCCCGCTTTTAGCCGTCATAAGCTCGAACAAATACATTGTTGGGGTGAATTATGTTAGGGTTAATTTTCAAGCTTTGCAGCGTAGAGAGAGGACATATGTCTACCCCTGATCCTCCATCTATCATGACCCTCTTTACATAGGACCCTTCACATTTCACTGTAAGAAACAAAGCTCTGTTGTGTCCAGCTCCCTCTGTAGGTAACTCATCATCAGTGAAAGTGTTGGTGTTTGACTTAAAAGATGCGCTTGGCCATTTTCTCCAACTGATTTACCGTGGTCTCCTTCGATACATGTGCTTCATTCAAAATCTTATTCAACACACGGCGATGTTCTTCAGAGTGTAAGAGTAGAGACACCAGTGAAATTTGTGTAGGGGTTTTCTTCAATTGTTCCATAATAGAGTAATCTGGAACCTTAATATTTTTTAGAAACTCTTCTTCTTCTTCCTCTGTAAATGCTTTCTTCAGTGGTACTTGGATATTTTGAGCCATCTTCCCTTTTCTTAATTCTTCTGAAGAATAACATCTTCCAGAGCGTGTTAGCCCTCCTGCTTCATCAACCTCTTCAACAATCTCCTTTCTTTGGTAAACCATAGCAATTCTGTTATAGTTCCAAGGAACAACCTATGAATCAGTCACTGGAAGCTGCTAGGAGAGCTTAACAAAGATAGGTTCTTTCAACTTTGCCAAGCAACTTTGGTCATGTTGTGTTAATGAAAAGCCTTTTGATACATACAACTTCGTCATTCCCCTCAAACTTGAATCCCCTTCGAAAGCCCCGGGACACGCAAAACTTTGGTATCAAGATTGACACCTTCCATACTTAAAAGATGCGACTGGTTCTAAACTCTTTAACGACATGTCTTCTTCCCCGATCTTACTAAATAGCTTTCCCATTTTTCCAAGGAGTTTGTACTCATGATCATCGCAGATCATACCCACTAAATTGTTTTTGAGCTTGAAGTGGGTTATTAGTTACATTGGGAGTGTTTTGATCATCCGTCACAATGACCACTCCCTGATCGATTAATTTCTATATCGCCCCCTTCAAGGTCCAACAATTATCAGTGTTGTGTCCTGGGCCCCTGAATGATACTCACATCTTTCATTGGCCTGGAAACCTGGAGCAGTTGGATTTAGACGATGTGGTGGGATAGACCTATTCATTCCTATCTTACTCAACTTTTGAAACAAGCTGGAGTATGACTTTCCCAATGGAGTGAATTTCCTTTTTTATCCCTACTCTTGAGTATAATTTTGCGTAGGATGAGGGTTGTAAGTGACCTGATAGGGTGGTCGTGGTGGCCGATGGTTTCCTTGAGTTGGGGCCCAAAAATATGGGTAATTGGGAGGATGCACATATTGCTGAGCATTAAAGACTGTGTATGGAGATGGAGATACTGAATATTGAGGAACATAAGGGTAGTAATGTTGATGATAGCTAGATTGTCCCTGAATTAGCGAGTAAGAACAATCTGACTTCCTTTGAGCACCCCTTGACCCTGACACTAGCGAAGAAACTTCCTTTTTCCTTTTAAGATTTCCAAAATTGCCTGAA